GGGGAGGTCTATGTTCAGCAGTGGACGTCCTGTGGCTTAAATGACGCTGATGAAATTAAATAAAAATAATATTGGTTAAAGAGTATAGACGAACGAATGATCGCCTCTACCATAGCACGTTGGGTGACGCATTCCCGATAGGCCAATTTATTGCTAATACAAAATTCGCACCATAAAAACTAAACGTATAAATTATAATAACTTAACACTTTGACAGACCATGTTAATTTGTAATTGCGAAGTTCCGTTTTCCTAATACAAACAAATCATCACGAGTTAGCTAAGCCCGCGTATAGGATTTGGAGCCGGCAAGTATGAATCATGTTTTGGTCGCGGGTTCCGTACCCATATTTTTATTACTGACTAGCTACAGCCGCCTGCGACTTCGTACGTGGATCCCGTTTTACCCCCTTAGGGTTGGAGTTTCGTAAAATACTTTCTTAGCGGATGCCTACGTCATTACATCTACCTGCATGCCACATTTTAGCCCGATACGTCGAGTGGTTTGGGCTGTGCGTTAATAGATCACTATGTCAGTCATTCAGTCAGTCACCTTTGAGTTTTATATAATAGATGAAAATTAGAATTGATATTTTTTTTCGCTTCTCGCAGATTGCATTTACCCTCGACAGGGTGGGATAGAATCGACCATAATGAATGAATGAAGTATGGACACGTGATTTTCGGTAACAGATTAAAACTCACACTCATTCACGAGATCAAGAGGCAAAAAAGTTACTTATTGCCTTACTTATTTAAAAGTTTCCATTAAGACGGGAAGTAAAACAGGTACAGTCTTAATTTAATTACTGCTAAATATGTAATCTATTACTTCATATATCCAGGAAGCTTTTTTTTAGATAACGGTTAGTTTTAATAATATCATAGGAGATTTATTTAAATTTATCTTTAAATATATTTCTTTATTCTTAATTGGCCCTAGATTCAATGATAATAATCTCATGGAATCGTTTTTGAAAATCATAATCCTCATCAGGTCAATCCTTCTCCTCTACTCCAAAAACAACGAACCTCAATAATTTACCGGAGGCAATTCATTTTTAACCACAATCCCAGTTGTGTCCCAACTCTTGACCTGCATCTCGTTCGTTTCAGCCGAAAGACGTCCACTGCTGGACAAAGGCCTCCGCCAAGGATTTCCACAAAGTCCGGTCCTGCGCCGCTCGCATCCAGGCACCTCCCGACCTTCACCAGATCGTCGGTCCACCTAGTGGGAGGCCTGCCCACGCTACGTCTTCCGGCTCGTGGTCGCCACTCAAGAACTTTTCTGTCCCAGCGGCCCTCAGCTCTCCGAGCTAATATGTACCTATGACCTGCATCTCACCTAATGAAAATTGATGAAGTCAAAGGTCAAAGCTAGTTATACCCAGAATCCTCAACCACAGAGGAAATGGTGAAAATGTTGGACACCAACAATACTGTTAACATTGTTGTTACGGCAAATGGAGTACCTATTTGGCCTCAATCCCCACGATGGACTGCCTCTCATGTTTATGTGGACATAATCTATTAAAGACAATGACTATAATTATTATTTTTTTTAGTTTATTTTTTATTCCAACGCGGATCTCTAAAATTAGCGTCCAGATACGTGATAAAGGGATTACTCCATCATTACTGGTGATGACCTAACGATTTCTATTCCTCGGACTGTGGCGTGTCAATCAAAACTATGTGTTAACTATGTTTTTGTTTCAGTATGTTGTTTCTTTACGAGATCGAATCAGAAATGAGGAGATCCGTAAACGAACTAAAGTCGCTGACATAGCCCGACGGATTAGCAAGCTGGAGGGGCAGTGGGCAGGGCACATAGTACGCAGAACTGACGGCCGATGGGGCAGCAAGGTTCTGGAGTGGAGGCCGCTACCAACCGGGCAACATGGAAAGCATTGGGGGAGGTCTATGTTCAGCAGTGGACGTCCTATGGCTGACATGATGATGATGATGATGATGTTGTTTGCAAAAATACACATTTTATGTATTTTAAAACGATACTAATTGGTTGCATATCGGAGCATTCAGGATGTTTATTTTTCATAGTTGTTAAATAATAAGGATTGTTTCTACTGCTCAAATGCAAAAACTTCTAAAGTTTACATCAGAAATTACTAAAGCTGAGTTGCACCATCTTATTTTGACTATAACAAAATTCTGACAAAAATATTATAAAGACACCGATTATAGTTATAGTTACGTTTAAAATTAAGGTGCTGCGACTCAGTCTTAGTCATTTAGTATGGTGGACGGCAATGCATTTTTGTATGAAAAGTGGTCGTAAAGTAAAACTCTTTTTAATTGATCGATTAAAAAACAATCCGTATAATTTTAAAATTAAGAACAGTTTTATTATCAGTTATCACATAATTTTGTAATTTTGAACGAGTGTATTGCCATTAATTGTATTTTTAAGATTGTTATTATGCATTTAAATAGGTAATGAAGTTAAAACTTTAAAGCTTAAACCAGTTATTAAAACAGTCACATAAGTTAAACTATTTAATTTATCTGACTGCACCATAATTTTCATTATTATTATATGATTCCGAACTGTTACTATAATGAAAGTAACGCCCGTATTCACAAACATTACTATGAGGTCTCCCAGTGCGCGTGGACGCACAGGGTGACACACAAACCATCACAGAGCTATGAATGGTTCGTGTGCTTCACTTAAGCAAGCATCGTTTGTGAATACGGGCATAAGTCTGTCAGTCAGTTTGTAATACGTTTTCAAACTTTCAAATTCAAAACGTTTATCGCATGTCACATTACGTTAGTTTTTGAATCATGTGAGATTTTTACGTCGAAAGACAGTAATTACTGCCCTGTATGACTTATGGCCTGTGTTTTGTTGTTTTGGCAATAGTGTTAGAAAACATTGTAGAGGAGACTAAGGAGAGTGAAAGAGAGGTGACAGGGAGCTCACAATTACACGCCAACAGTGGGGTGTCGAAAGAGCAATTAATTCGCGAAGTTGCTAACTCGATAAACTATCATAGGTTCGGACAAAGTGACTTTGTTACGACTCACCTCTGGTACAACACTCCTCGGTCTCCGCTATTTCTTCCCATCTTTAAATTCTATCATTGTTCCTACCACCAATACATACAGGGTGTCCCAGAATGGGTGAATCAAACTGCTAGGGGAGGTAGCTCTACTAATGTACTATCCCTCACCCATTCTGGGACACCCTGTATATCGTGATACTTGTTCACATAGAATGTGGATACACACAATATGTGGGAGAATACGCGCGCAGAAGCAAGTGACAATTAATAAACACTTAAATTGATATTTCCAAGTATTACAACACGGATGCTACCTTTTGAAATTTTAATTTCTCCGGTCCATATAGAATGGGCTGGTCCGACATTTTTGCAACATTTACAATACCTAGAGTTGTACAAATGATGTGTGAAGTGAGAGTAAAAGAACCAAGGGCGAAATCCAAAGGTCCCTTGTTGATTGGACGCATAATAATCGCTTGTCGACTAAACTGATATTGAATAAACAAAAAAAACAAGAACGTCACTATTGTAGAGTCGTTATGGAGGGCAATGAGGCATAGTGGCTCAGTCAGCCGTTCGAAGAGCAAATTTGACCCTGAGTCGATGCCCAGTCGAGTCAGTTTAGTTTGACTTGACTTGACATCGAAAAAGAATGGGTTTTCCTTCGGGATAATAATTAGGTAGTTGTATGACATCTTGTTTAATACATGGATGTTAACTATTCGAGTTAGTTTACTTTATATTGGTCCAAAACTAACTAGTGTACCAATATTCATAATCGGCAAAATATGTATGACATAATCATGCGTTTAAATAAATCTTTTTAATATTAAGTGGAACAAAATTACACTTGAGTGACATAATACCTTAACATTTTCCACAAATAGCTTTTAAAATGTAAATTACCTACTCTTAAAAATAATACCTACCCTATTGTTTTGTGCCCAATAATGCATCGAAACAAATAAATAAAGTGTACATAATTTTCATGTTTTACCAATAATCATAAAACTATTGGCATTAGAACAATACACAATAAAATATAGGCATTAAATTAGATATTTCGAATCCATGATTCATCATGACACACGACAAATTTAATATGGCAAAGAGCAAGTAGCTTTCTTTGAAGAGTTCCGTACTTTATAACTAATTGGTTTACTACTGATTTGGACGAAACTGTGTTGTGACTTGAGGGGTTAAAGATTGGAAATATCAATGTGGTAAAGTTGACATTCATTCTGCCATTTTTTGATGATGTTGAGAAGACAAACTTACTGACAAGACTCTGGCAATGTGCTTTCGATGTCGCTTTCGATTCGATAAAGATTATTAAGCCCTTCCTAGGTAACCTTTATGAACACCCTCACATTATTTTAAATTGACATCTCTATTATTAGGCTCATTGTTGTAAATATTAACTCAGCTCACATGAAATACTTAATTACACATTTTACACGTTCTATATTAAGAACACGTTACTCTAAAAATACTCTTACACTACTTGACATGCACCTTGGCCTTCATCTATATCTACGGAAGAAATTATGTAAACAAACATTTAAAATATCTACTAAACATTAGCCAATTATCATCTAAAATCAGGATCTCATAAATAACCAATCGATGATTTAACATCCGTCGTGCCCTACGATACAACTTCTAATCACGAAGTTATAATATTACTGCATTACGACCAAAAATTAAGACTTCTCCAATTAAACGTGTATATCGTTACTCTTGAATCTATGCGTGCATCTTTACCGACAAAAGTTATGCCGTTACCTAATTTGAATACAACACGATTCTCGGCCTTAAAATTACCAGCAATAAAGAGTTCAGCATTGTTAAAAGTCGTATCGTGACTTTCAAATTTGACTTGCGAAGATCATACGGCCATGTTTTTCGGACGACTTTTGTAGAGGTATAAAAAGCATTTGCGTCTTCTGTGGTACCATCAGTTAGTGTTGACCCATCATTGTAGGAGCATCATAAAGTTAAGCTCAGGCGGCAGTATGAATTTGGTAATCCCTTTTCTAAGCTAGTGGGTTGTGATTAATGAGTGCGCATTGTTTTCGGATAAGGGTTGTTGTGTAAGCTAACGGTTGGACATTTGTGACGGTTCAGTGCGTTGACAATTAACGATTTTGCGAATTCAGTGGACTAGTTCGGTCAAAGATAATAATATATAAAAAAAAATCATAGCTAATGACCAGTCATAGTCATATCAAATGTAATAATACTAAATTAACACTTAAAAATATTTTTTGTTTAAAAAGGATAGAATTATAATCTGATGAGATTTTAATTGAACTATTAAAATTTATAAATGTTTTAATATTTTTTGGACAAATCAAAGTTCTAGTTTACATACCTACATGAGTCATCATTTTACACATCGTCATATAAAAAATAACCGCATCAAGTAGTAACTTGTGAAAACATTTTTCATATTTGATCTGATTTCCGCATAATATTTCAACCGCAGAGACAGTTTCCTTGATTTAAAAGTCAACGGCGATAAACACATTCACTTTAAAATGTGAACCGCTGTCTCATTGCTTTTGTTTCATAAACACACATTGTTGCAGATTTTGATAGCCGCCGTGGTTGCGGTGTGCGGAGCCGCAAAACTGGACCGCACTTACTTACCGCCAGTGTCAGCCAAAACTGCTGGCGGTAGTCCAGGGTCCTTACAAACTCCGTTCGCTGGAAACTCCTTCAATGAAGGAGCCAGCAACCTCCCAAAAGGCAGCTTCACTAACGAATTCCAAGGAGTGGTAGTTGACGCAGCTGCTGCTGGTACTAGAGCCTCTGGAGAAGGTGAAACGGGACTTGGAGGTCCTCGTGTGTCCTATGGCTCAACTGATTCCAGAGTGGGCGAAGCTGCTTTTAGAGATGCTCCCAACTTCCGACCTTTCCCTGGACAGGATTCTGTAGAAAGCCAAAGTCAACAGAGTGACAGTCAGACAGCAAGCGCCTCTCAAGAATTCAACCAGAACAGATTCAATTCATTCGGAGAATCGAAACCTGAGCGTGCTCAAGCTGCTTTCGACCGTGTGGCCAACACCTTAAGATTCGAAAACGAGGTTGGACCTGAATCTTATCACTACGCCTACGAGACTGACAATGGAATATCTGCTGAGGAAAATGGTCTGGCCATCAATGGTGTTCAAGCACAGGGTGGTTTTTCATACACTGGTGACGATGGGAAGGTTTACAGCGTTTCCTATATTGCTGATGAGGGTGGATACCAGCCTAGAGGTGATCATCTGCCGACTCCACCTCCCATTCCTGAGGAAATCTTGAAGGCTCTGGAGAAGAACGCTCAGGATGAGGCTGCTGGAGTTATTGACGATGGTGAGTTATTATTATCCTTATGACTTCTTCCTAAAATAATTATTTCGTAAATATCCGTTTTTTTTAACATTTGACTGAAACAGTTGACACTGAGCTTTTGTTTAGTTTGATAATTTTAATGAGTCTTAACCAGCTATAACAGCGTTAATTAATAAATATCAGAATAATTCCTGCTCTAGATCCGTCGCCTAAAACTTTATAGTTAAACAATCGTGGAAACAAACTATACACTTTATTATATTAGTAGGTACTCCATGTTATACCTTCCTTATTTTACTAAAGAGCTTATGAAAATAAGGAAATCATTTTTAAAAAATATTAGGATTACAATGTACCTACTCGTATTAAACTTTGAACGTTAAGATATCCAAAGAAACACTCGTCGTTACAAGGATTCAAAAAAGCTCATTAAACTTCTGAAGACAGATCGAGTGTCTAAGATCTTTCGATATAAAAAGTGTAAAGTAATAAATCTGGATCTAGACACGTCGTTCTTTGAGATAAAGCTACTAAAATATGAATCTTATTAATTTATGCACATGTTATGTTTGCGGATCTACCGGAATATAATTACCGTTCCGTTTTGTAAAGCTTTCATATAAATGTAAGCTTCTTATTATTAGTTTTGCTACTTGTTAAAGGATAATTATAACATCTCAAATATAATAATTGTACAATCAACAGCACATCAGTCAAACATAGATATTGAAAAAAAAAGCCCATTTCACTAAAAGATTTTAGTTTTCAGCGACGGTATAAATCTGAATCTTGGATACATTATCCATAATAATTGAAATTAAGTCTTATTTTTCGTCATAAATAAAGTGTTATTTATGACGAAAAAAAAAAAACAACAAATTGAAAAAGTCAATAAAATAATATCAGTCATCATCATCGGTATCTTAATACGCATTACGCAAATGACGCACCTTACTACTATAGTAGTAAGTAGTAGTAGTAGTAGTAGTAGTAGTAAAATAACATAACTCTTGTCCAGATTAAACAAAATAGCTGAACAAATCAGAAAATTACGAAATTAACTAATTTGACCAAGTAGGTATCAAGTTTCAATAGTAACATTTGAACTTATTATTGTAGGTACCGTAAACAAATTGAAAAGCTTTTAAAAGCTCCAGAAAGAAATGGTCAACGTCACTATCTAATTAGAGTTTAACAAGGTCGTCGCCTTGTTGTGTAACATCTATCATCACACCATTCCTTTTTGATACACGCTTTATGAAAAAAGTTGCCAAGCGCGAGAAGCACTCAAGCGCAAAGGGTCCCGTACAAATCTAGAACCTTCACTTGATATGAAAATGCGTTTTAGCAAGCTGATACCATTTATATCGTGTCCTATTCATCGTAGTTTTCTTCAGTAGAAATGTTTATTGCTAAATTAAACATCTAGGATTCAGTTTTCCTGTAAAAGTTTACTGGCAAGTTATGAAACAATTTTATGGAAAAATTGCTATTTTTTTGCATCAATGATCATCATGATACTTGTACAGAATTTCAATAAATGTAATATAGTTGGATAGTTTTTTCTATGCGATCTTTTATGGATTCTGTTTTTGAAAAGTAATATTGATCTCCAAAAAAGCTTCCAAAAATAATGAATCGAGCGCCTTAGTCAGTTACAAAGGAGCTTGCTACCAATTTAAAAGCATTATTAACAAGGTGTTTGATTGTGTAACCAGAGGTTTGATTCTCATACATCCTCACAAAAACATCTGGGTCATTTACCCTTAGATTGTGACACGCATCATCATTTCGTCACTCTATTGGACCCAAATCAAAGCAGGTGATACAATGTTTATTTACATTGCATTCATAAATATCTATACAAGATCTTGTACCAGGTCCCATTGTATTTACTGATGTACATAGAATGATAGATAGCTTGCTTTGTGATAAGCATATTATTACTGATGACATTGTAATAGGTTGTGCAAATGAAGTAGATCAAATAGGTGTTTGTAGGATGATGTTTCAGAATGTTGAGCAAGATACGGATAAGTTAAATAATAGTCAAGAGGAAATTCTCACAGTTGAAGATTTCGTACAATGTGAAACAAGTAGCGCTAATTGAATGAATAAAAAACAAAAAACAAACGTGCTAAAAGCTTACTTACATGAAACTTAATGCAGTTACATAATTGCAGTGTTACTTATTTAGCTACACTAGATTGAACGTTGACCTATATTTAAAAATACTGGAATACTTTACCAATATCAATATTTTTTGAGTCGTGTCAAGCATAACATTTGGATTTTGCAAATTATTAAAGCATGTCCGGTTTTTGGAACGCCTCAAAAAGCGACCTATTTAAGAAAACCGTAACATTGCAGATTAGCCTTAAAGCCTTTTGTATGCGGTGACAAATGTATTGCCGACTGATACATCGCTTGCGCTAGGCATTGACAAATGATCAACGACTTTCATTTTTTATTTACAGGCTCATACGACGCTCAGAAGTACAATGCGGGCGATTACGCGGAAAGTGACAGTGGTAACACAGACCACAGTGACCGGCAATCACCTATATTTGGGAAGCAGCCCGAGTCTGACGCAACAGCAAGTGGCACGTTCATCAACCAGAACAATCAGGCTTTCGGACCGAACACCAACGCGTTACCTGGACAAAGAGATTCGTCTAAAGATTCTCAAAGCTCTGTCAATGATTTCGGCTCCGTTGAAAACTTTGGACAGACGTCGCAGCCCGGCCGTGGTAACTCTAACAATTTTGGCTCCAGAAAGGAATATCTACCACCTACCAGTGGTTTTAATCAGAATGGCAGGGTTCAGAGACCGTTCACCCCTACTGGAACTAACTCTCCACAGTCCAACCAATTTGCTGACAGTCGTCCAACTTTTGCTTCTTCTGGTAATGTCGAAGCTCAAAACTACCAAGGAACTCAGTCATCATCCACCTTTGCCAGGCCAGGCTCCAACAGATTAGATGTTCTCGCCCAAAGCGCTTCAAAGGAAAACTCACAAGAGAAAAATGACTTTGCGCCATCGTCAAACAACAACTTCGGGCAATCTGCACAAACTAGTCAAAACTCTGGAAGCAGTCTTGGCTCTAGGACGGAATACTTGCCACCTGTTAACCGATTTGGCCAAAATGGAAGAACTCCAACTCTGCGTCCTCAGAGACCTACTGCATCGGCTGAAGCAACCTCGACTGCAAGCTTCAATGCGTTTTCTCAAAATACTGGATCATTCCAATCTAACAATGAAGCCGGGCAATCCAGTTCTTCAGGACTTGTATCTGGAACAGCTGATAGGTTCAGCGGTTTCCAACAGCGCCCCCAGTCTTTTAACAATCAATACTCCCAGAACCGTTTCCAGGCTAGTCAGAATGGTCAAAGCCAAAATCAGGGAGACGATGTTTCATCAGACGCCAGTTTTGGTGCCATTAACTCTCAACGCCCAACATCTCAGCCTAGCACTGAACTAACGACACCTTTTGAATCTAACGAACAACCACAGAGCACATCAAGTCCATCGACCTCGTTCAATGCTTTCAATTCTCCCACGAATTCCCGCCCAGCTTCGCAATACAGTCAAAACAACGGCCAATTCCCTTCTTCGTCTCGCCCTCAGAACCGACCTTCCCAATCACAAGGCTCCTCTTTCTCCTCTCAGGGACAATTTAACCGACCATCCTTCACTTCCAACCAAATATCTTCGGAAGGAAGTCTGAACGAGAATGTTCGTGATATCAATGACGCTCAGTTTTCTCCGAGCACTGTCAGACCTACATTTGGTCAAGCTCAGGGACAAGATGATTCTTATTATTATAGGCAGCCCTCAAAGGCATTCAACACTCCTTCAGGGTCCAGATTTCCAGGTGCGTCATCTGGTCAGTTTGATAGCGTGAACCAGCAAACGTTGCAGGGCCCCAGTCAATTCTCTGGAGAATCTCAGAAAAACTCCTTCCAGTCTCAAAACATTAAATATCCTGAACCCCCTACTGTTCCAACTGCCGCACCTACAGTATCCTTTGAGCAGTTCCAGGGAAGCACTCCTGCCTCACAGTACACTGAAGCTTCGATTAGCCCCTTCCAGTCCATAAACCAAGCTACGACTAAATACCCCAGGCCCCCAACCATACCTACTGCTAGTCCCTTCCAGCCTTTGAACCAGGCTACAACTAACTCGGGTAGTTACCCGACCATACCTACTGCAGCACCGTCACAGTATAACGGAAACCTCCAAACTACTGCATCATCATTTGCGTCAGCACCAACTGGTTCCTTTGGCTCAAGGCCTTCATACCAGCAGCCTGCTCAGTCTAACTACCAAAGTCAACCTCAGGGATCTTCGCAGTTCTCTCAGACCGTAGGATCAAGTCAAGATGCTGCTAAAGATGACTCAGAACCACAAGTAGCCACCCAGCAATACAATGGAGAGATTTATGAGTACAGCAAACCGGCTCAAAGTCTTCCTGCTCCTGCTCAGAAAGAGACCACTTCAGGTGTTCAACAAGGTCAGAACAGAATTCCTGAATCCCAACCTACCCGATCTCAATTCGATGCCACTCAGGGTAGCAGTAATGTTCAGGAATACACACAGCAACCATCCAGGCCTACCTTTGGAGCGAGACCACAATTTGGTTCTCAGACTAGGCCTCAGTTTGGTCAGTTCAATTCACAAGAGCAGCCTACTCAGGAATCGAGACCCCAATCGAATGCTCAATCCTCATTTGAAGGTTCTCAGGAGAACCAAAGGCCAGCTCAGAGCAACCGTTCCAAATGTTGCCAGTCATTAGACTCTCGTCTGCAATCTTTCAGAGGGACGCAGGGTACTAATCAAGGTCAGTTCGGCTCCCAATTCCCTGGATCACCTTCCCAGACTGTGAGCCAAAACACAGGACGAGGTGAGGTCTTCGGAGGACCCCGAAAACCTCCCAGCTTCGACCAGGAAACCGGCTACCATTATTAAGCAAGTGCCATGATGAATTATTTAAACTATTAATAGGTAAAAGTGGTGTCTGGTGACAAAAACGTGATAAAAAATGATGGTAACGTGTATTTAATTTATGATATTGAATGTAAAATTGAAAAAATGGTGATGACATCATTAAGTATTTATTAGGATGATAATGTGATTTTGTACAGAGAATTCTGTATTGTGTTCTAATAAATTACTGTGTAAATAAAAAAAATGTTGTCCGTTTTATTTTAAACTGAAATCTGTCCCCGATTTCCCCTACTGATTTCATGCCACTGAAGCGTTTATCACGTTTGTATATCTATTTTATTAATAATACACCACCAGAGTTCGTATATGAGATAAAACTAAAGCCTATAGGTTAAATACCTCATGAATGAATGCTAAAGTTACAACAGTTTCAATCAATTTACTGAGAAGCCTTGAATAAATTTACCTAAACCGCTCAAAAATAATAATAAATTACTATCAAAACCACAAAAGAACCATAATCGCATCTTTAACTGTTTTTATTGAAACACAATAAAATATTAACTGTTAACTAGATAATAAAAATGTCTTTCATTTGGCATCGATAAAAATAAATTGGACGAGGTCAAGAAGCGCACACAATATAGTATATCAACTATGTTATGTCCATTCATAATATTTTTTGAATCATGATAGCTGTCAAAGTTAATTTAATACCTTATATGGATAGAGACAATCATTGATCACAACGCCATTAAAAGCACTATTGATTAATGGTTTAGATCACATCTTGTCGGAACCACTTAAAAGCTCTGAAAGTTCTGTTAGTAATAAGTTCTGAGGTCCGCCGTAAGATGGCGTTGTAATACAACCTCAATAGAGCTTTTAAATTTGTAGGTAAAGAAAATGTTTGAGTATAACAAAATACGAGTAAGTTATAAGGTTTAAATACCTAATCAGTCTAAAGATAGGTAATTATTTTTATATGAATTATTTCCACTATTAAAAAATCTAAACGTTCCGTTTTCATTAATTGGTTTAGATTGAGATGCGGTTAAGCGATACCAGCCGGGGTAATATTAATTTGGGTTCCCATTTTCATAGTTTTTATTTTTTGTAAGCCTAGTACAGGTTTTGCTTCCTTCAGGGCTTTTAATCAGTTTTTGAGTCAGAAGAAAAAAAAAGACTATTCTGCTCTGCTTTAAAATGAATTGAAGAGAGTATTATGTCCAGCTGTACAGCCTTCAACAGTAAATAGTTTTAAAATGTTAACAACATTTACTTGCTATTTATAACTTTAAAGTTTATGTGTTAATCAGTCAATTATGGCAAGACCTGACTTATTCTGAGCAAACTAGCAAACTAGCCCATGTTTTTACGGAGTTCATCCTACGCCATGTTCACCTTTTGGCATTTTTCTCAGTAATTAGATGTTACAATCTATGCCATAATTTAAGGACAAGGATGCCAATGTTTTCATTTACAATTTGGACAATCGTAAGGGCATTAGACCAGAGCCAGAACTGTTATACACCCGTATTCACAAACATTACTATGAGGTCTCACAGTGCGCGTGGGCGCACAGGGTGACACGCGAACCAATCATAGAGCTCTATTGAACGCTGTGCGTTCGATTTGCTGCTTCACTTGAACACGGGCGTTAGTTTGTTTGTCTGGTACTGTAAAATGACAAATATTATTCCAATAAATGGAAAGTTGTTAAAAACATTAGATAGCCTTATGCCCGTTTTCACCATCAATCCCTAATTTTTAAGTGACCTTTATGGTAATAAATAACAGGAATTTTGATGTTATATGTGTCACTTAAAAATTAGGGAGTGATGGTGAAAACGGGCACTAGTTAGTGTCTGTGATTGAGGATTCCGGGTGAAGTTCGCTTCCACCTTCGGCCTGATCATCACTTTCCATCTATGATCCGTTCTATGATTTATATTTTTATAAACTGTCATCTGTAACCCAAAACATGACAATATTTTGTTAGCTTTGATCTCTGCAATACAATCTGAATGAGACATAACTATCAATCAGAAGGAATCCACGATTCGACAAGTATCAAATAGTAGTATGAATAAACATAAATGGTATCAATTTACGTTCACAATGTCAGAATATCAATCAACTATAAATGGAGTGTTATTCACCATTCGATTCTGTCATTATTGTTTTGTTTACTTTGTAGTATACTATAAATCTTTACTAAGAAGTTTTCTTTATTCATTTTAAACATCACAGTCTATTATCTAGACCTAGAAGTTAGGTATAGCCTGACCAGGAACATAAAAACCCTGGCATAGAGGCGCCTCAATTGCATTTGATAGTGCAACACTGAGTACAGTCGTACCTGTGTTAAATTAATAGGCTAACTTTATGTATCAGGATTCAGGATTACGGGCTAATTTGATATTTTCATAAATTAACGAAAACATATTTTTATAGGTAACCTGATTTAAATAAATTAAATGAAACCATCAATCGAGCTAGTAGATTTATTTTATTATTCATCAATAATCAAATTCAGAACTTGAATATTCAACTGCAATGTCTGCTCATGAACGCTTCAAACTAGAAAGTGACAAATTTTTTAAAATAGGTAGTTGAAACAAACCACAGCTAATTTTCATAGTGGACTGTACTATACAATAAACATGACAGTCAATTTGACAACCTTTGTCGGAAACATTATTCAATGAAAATATTGTCCGAACCCTTAGTATTTCTCTTCGACTAATACTTTAACACATTGTGAACCACTTTTCTTTCACGACTATAAAAATATTTTAGCAATTTAATTCATAAAACCAATTGCGCACATTTAAAATAAAGTTTGTTTACACTTTGACAGCAATAGACTGACATGCAAGGTGACATGTCAATGAAGTTTTTTTTTTATTTCAGTTACTGTTGCCATTAAAAGAAATTAGTACCATTAGTTTTCCGCAACATGGCGAGGGTTTTTATGTTCCTGGTCAGGCATAGCTAGCTAATTAACTTGCTCGACCTATAGGCGTTGGACTCTACTATTCTTTTAGACACAATTAAAAAAACTCTAATTTATAGCTAGCTAAAGTAACTCATTTTTCAGCTTGGTAAGAGAATATTGCAATCTTGAAGCGACCTTTTTGTTGATAAAAAAAGACGATTTTTCAGAATCTGACATACATAAATATTCTAGAGCATTGTGTTTTCAGGGGACTTAGTGTGAGTTTATATCGAACATATTCGATATTGAGTGCGTAAAAAATGAGGGATCGTACAGCCTCCCTATTTAGTGGATACTTTCAAGAACTAAAATCTTCATAGATTTTTCTTCATACAATTTAAAATCGGGCATAACTATCTGCCAACTAAAAATCAACGGTGTGCGCTTACTCCAATTCGGCCGATTGGTGTAGTGGTTCGGAACGGACTACTATGCCGAGAGGTCCCGGGTTCGATCCCAGGCCGGGCAGAAATTGAAATGATTAATTTTATAATCTGTGACGGGTCTGGGTGTTGCTATGTATAAATATGTATGTATTTACCAAAAATAAGTATTTAAGTATGTTTCTATCCGTTGTCTAGTACCCGTATTACAAGCTTTGCTTAGTTTTGACTTTCTAGTCTAAGTTTCTAGAAGCGTAGTGTAAAAAATGTCCAAGGATATTTATTAATTCCCCAATGTTTTTAAAAAAGAGGCCTACATTTAAAAAAAATCGAAGAATTTCATAACATACGGAACTCCGATCGTTAAAGTAGCCGGTAACCTTTCCGTGACTTCCTAAAACACAATTAAGTTGTCACTACCAGTGTTTTAGTTCAAAACATCCCATCAAAAAGTTTCATAGACCACTATAATTATCGAACTAGAGGGCGCAATTAGTGATGTAATAATTGCCAAATGGCAAAACTAAGTGAGTAATTATTGCAGGTTATTAAATTCTAGTTTAATTGAACTAAAGCTTTGAAATACTTTTAAGTGTCTAGAGGTCATGATGGATAATTTAATGGTGCGTTTATACCTTGTTTTATGACTGCAAGGTGTTTGATGGGTCATCATCATCATCATCAGGTCATCACTGCATATTAAAAAACCAAGTCCTCTACCGCGTCTGTCTGTTCGCGAAAAAGTAAATAACTATTGAACGGATTTTTATGCGGTTTTCACAATCGACAGTTGAATTTCTGAAGTAGAAAAATATGATATTTTTTGCGCATGATACCGTCGCCCACAGTTAATAACAGTATGATAATTCATCATCATCATCATCATCATTTCAGCCATAGGAAGTCCACTGCTGAACATAGGCCTCCCCCAATGCTTTCCATGTTGATCGATTGGTAGCGGCCTGCGTCAAGCGCTTCCCTGCTACCTTTATGATGTCGTCGGTTCACCTTGTGGGTGGAAGTCCCGCGCTGCGTTTTCCGGTACGCGGCCTCCATTCCAGAACCTTGCTGCCCCATCTGCCATCAACCCACCTGCCAGTATGATGATTATTTCATTGAATATCTATAGAGATTCAAATGAATTATTGTAATCAGCCAAACATTTAACAGACATTAATGAATCCAATAAAACTAACTATTAAAATAATCAAAACGAAAACGTGACACGATGCGCCCCAAAAGTTTATTCTCCGTCAAAAAATCTAGGTTATCCAAATAAATCTAGATAATTTGACGTGCTCAGCCTCGATGTATCGTTAGCATAAAATAAACCGTTTAATGTAAGCAAATCCGTTTAATTGAAGCGGCCTTGACATGTCGTAATTTAAAAAAACAAGTAGAGTAGAGTCTACAGCATCAAACTAATTTTTGTTGCAATATCACTTCTATTACAATTACATAAGAGTCTTCAGACTTTAGCTTGAAGTGCTGTCATCTGTACTATCTGAAACATCTAATACAGGTCACAAGGCAAGATTAATATTTAATTTGGGTTACATTTTCGAAAATAAGAAACGGTTTAGATTGGTGCATGAGATTTGGTCGAAATACTCAAATTCTAGTATTATTTAAGTCGAAAAACTATGCATTGAAATGGCTCGTGTACCTATACATTTTCACATTTTGTTTAATCATGAGAGTCTTCACATATTTTTCACAGTCATTTGTTGATTTATGAAATAACAACAACGGTTCTGCGATGGATTATTTTTCAGTTTGGTGGAATTCCAGTTGAGAA